AGATCTATTTGTATGGACAGTCGTGCAGAAGTATGATTGCACAAACAAAGGAGGATGATCTAATGGTAATAAACTGGGGAGAGGGCAGGGGGCTCAGCAGGGCCTGTGTGTTCAGTGTCTTCTTGGCTTCCCTGTGTGACACTCCTTCCCTCAAGGTATAGTGTTACAGCAAGTGTTACAGTGGGTGGTTCCGAGGACAAGCTGAGCGGCACACGGAGAGTCGGGAGTTGGAGAATCAAAGTTTATTCACCCGCTGGCTCAGAGGGGTCTTGCCACCAAATTCTGAGCCCCGTCTACCCGATTTTTCACACTTTTATTAAGTTGGGGTGGCCCGAGGGGTGGGGTATCAGGTGGCTAATACCTGCTAGGTAATAGGTTAGTTGATATGTCAGGTAATAGGTTAGTATTATGTTGATGCACCAGGTAATAGGTTTAGTGTTATGCTGATGTGCCAGGTAATAGGTTAGTTGATGCGCCAGGTAATAGGTTAGTATTAAGCTGATGCAGGTCTTCCGTGAGGGGTGGAGGTCTCAGGCAGCTGATGCACCGCCAAGTAATAGATGGAAGTTTTCCTTATCAATAGGGCAGGATCCCTCTCACATAAGGGTCTTTAGGGGAGAAGGAGGGAGAAGGTCAGAGAGTGACCTTCCTAGATTTTAAGGCCTGCTTTAGGGAGGAAGGGGCAGGGGGAATTCTAGTTCCTATGGCCTGCTTCATGGTCGAAAAGAGCAAGTCAAGGTCAAAGAGATCTTCTGCTGTTTTCTCAATTTCCAAGGTGCCGTATTTTGGGATAGCATTTCCTGTCCCCTGTTATAGGCGAACTCATTTTTAGAGGGCAGCCTCTAGTTGTTCTTCAGGTTAAACCAGAGCTGCTCAAGGAATATACTTACTAAATCTTCTTGCTTGATTTAAGATACTTATTTCAAATGCAAGTGATCATACCATACCCTCTGGCCTAGTCAACATTTATTTACCATTTCAAAGCTTTACATTTCATGCTCATAACAACCCTATGAAGCAGGTATAACTGTTATTTCCATTTTACAGAGGAAAAACCTATGGCACATAGGGCTTGAGCAACTCCCCCAAAGCCTCACATAAAGGGCCAGACAGAGGATTTAAGCTCCTGTGGTTTAGCTTCCTCCTAGCCAGCCTCATACACTGCCCTGGCCTCCATCTGCTATGACCACAGGACTGGAGAGCTGGAGGAAGGAATTTTAACTCTGCTTTTAGAACCTTGGGAACATCCGGTGGGTCTCAGTGCCAGGAGCTAGAGGGGCAGGCACCACCATGGGCCACCACAAAGCTGCCTCCGACCACAAAGCAAGCCTTGGAGTCACCTGTGTGCCCAGAGTCCATTTCTGTTTCTCTTACTTGGACTTGAGAAGCTGCACCAACCAAGATGTAGTGTGGTGGGAGAGGGGACTGCATGGCTGAGACTGCAGCCAAGCAGGGCCGTGTGGCTTTAGATAGAGTTGAGATGTGCCCACGCCAAGCTCATTCATTCAACATACATGTATCGACATGGGAAGCCACGCGCAGGGAAGACAGGCGATGTCTCAACTCTCCTGGGCTTACATTGAGGGGGAGGACGATGGAAAATAAACACTTTGACAAAGAAATGAACAAGATGCCTTTAAATGGGGACAAATGCATGAAGAAAGTGAAACAGAGTAATGCATGATGGGGAACTGGTTTAGACTGGATGACGGAGGAAGACCTTTTAAAATGCCAATTAAGCAGAAATAAAACCCACAAAAGGGGGCAGCCTTATAAAGGGTTGGGCAGAGCCTTTCAAGATAAGACAGGTTAAAGGACATGGCCTAAGGGAGAAGTGGCATGAGGGAGGTGACAGAGATAAGCAGGGCTGTTATGTTAGTCCCCCCAGGCCCTGCAGGGGCCTTCCGTGCCCCTCTAAGTGTGCTGGGAAGATACCAAAATTTTGAGGCGCAGGTTGGGTGTGGAGGGCGTTTACAGCTGGAGCGTGCACAGAACCGCCTGTGAATGGGCCAAGTACCTCCTTGGGACAGAGAGAAAGCGCTTAGTAGCACAAAATTATTTAAGGAGCATCTTGGACACACTTTCTTCTTTCAACGCCAACTAAAAGAGCAGTTATCAGAAGAGTCTCGGGTGTACTGAGACCACATCCGGAACACAGGCTCGCCGGCGTTGTGCCCAGTAGGTGAGGTGCGCTCTCCTCCGAGCCAAGAGGGACAGCGCTGGTTGCGCCGCTGGACGACGGGAGAAAGGACGAATGCGGACATGGAGCAGGGAGGGAGGCGGGAATGTAAGATGTGGGCGTGGATGTCTTCCGCATGCCCCACCTCCTCCACCACTTGCTAAACCTTGAGTATTCAAATTTCTCCACCCCCAGCGGAGAGGAGCTGGAGGCCAGGCGGGGTTTAGGGTCTAGGACCCTGAGCTCCCACAGTTAGGAATACCCCAACCACTGCAGTCCACTCTCCCACCCCTGCCGAGGCGGGCGGCCGGTGTCCCCAGGTAGATCTCCACCCTTCGGCGCAGGGCACTGGCGGAGCCGGAGAACTTTGGCCGCCTCTTCCAGCCTGCTCCCAGCCCGGCACCGGGGCTGAGCGCGGCAGACGCCCGGCTGGCCCGGAAGACGAGGTTTTCCCGCGGCGGTGCCTGAGACGCGGCGATGGCAGCACAGGGGCGGCCCCGCGAAGGGCGGAGACGAGCGCAAAGCGCAGAGCGCAGGCCGGGCGGCCGGGTCAGCCTCCGCGCCGCTGGCTTCCGGGGGGGCGGGCCGCGCCCGAGGCTCTCGGAAACCTCCCGCCGAGGACCCTGCGAGCCCGAGCTCGGCCGCTTTGCAGCCTCTGCGGTTTCCAAGTTCAGCGCCACAGAGCTGGGCCCAGACCCTTAGGCTCCCAGAACCTCACTTTCCCTTCTGTGGAATGGCGACAGTGCCTGCCTTCTTTACGTTATTTTCCCTAGGAAGTGGTAGATGATTTTTGTAAATAGGCCCCTGAAAATATTTGCTTGCCGAGGTCCTGCCTTGTCCTGGAAGCAGGTCTAGGCCACGGAGGGGCGGGGAGTCACGTTTACTATGGGCACCTGGCGAGAGCCGCTTCGCTTCCAAGCGCCCACGGCTGACCCAGCGCGAGGAGGGAGCCGCGCGGCGGAGGGGTCTCGGAGGAGGAGAGGACACTCCTGCACCCCAGAGTCCCACAAAGGAGCCTCATCAGTCGTCAGAATATAGCCTCCCTAGAGCCCGTAACCGTGCGTCCAGGTTACGCGCCACACCCGAGCGGCGTCTGCGCAGCCCGGCCGCGCCGGCTTCCAGTTTCCTTTTCTTGGCCCCGCTGCCCCACCTCCGGCGGCCGCCAGGCCTTGCCCGGAGACCGGTGACGCAGAGGAGACTAAGGTTCCCATTGGAAGGCGCGGTTCGGCAGGGCCAATCCCGGGGCCAGGCCGAGAGAAATCTCGGGGGAGGGCCCGAAGAACCGGGAGATTACCGGGCGGGGACGAGCTGTCGCGCTGGTTGCTCGCGGGGAGCGGGACCCGGAACAGACCGGCGCGAGCGGGGAGGGGCCCGAACCTCGGATTCGCGGCCCGGAGCTCGAGACCGGTGAGTAGGGGTCCAATGGGAGATGCAGCAACAGTCCCACACACCGGCCCCAGCTTACGCGGGCCCGGGGGCGGAACGGGGCCAGGGCCCCCGGCGGGCCCGGGGAGGCCAAGTTCCCCGCGTCCTCCCTGGGAGCCTGATCCCTCCTGCTTGCTTGACCCTACATTGTCCCCTTCCTCGTGGGTCTTCTCGCTTTCCGGTGTCCTGCTCAGACTTGGGTCCGTACTAGTCCTGCAGAACCAGAAGTAAGCGGGGCCCGGATGACGGTCCGGTTGCTTGGAGCTTGGTAGATGGAGTGCCAGTCCGGCTCTGTGACCAGAGCCATGAAGTCATGTTTTCTTTCCTTAACTCTTTTTTGGTCGGAGTAAACCGGTTTAGCCGCATATACTTGGAGCTGTGCATTCACTCCCTCTTCCACCGCATTAGCATTTTTCCTGCCGATTTTATCCCTGTTTGGCCTTAGGAAAAAAGTGCACATTTAACTTTGCGGAGTAAATGGGAGGGAAACGCTTCCAAATTCCTAGTAGATTCCAAATTTTGACACCACGATTTGTGTGTGCCTCAAAAGAGGGGAGAATGACATTCATTCATGCATGCCTGAGCCTCCTATTTTAACTGTTATCTAAAATCATAATCCCTAGCATGTCTTTTCCCCAAATTAAAAACAAATCACCTTTAAAAAAACAGGCTCTTTTTATGTTCCCAAAATTGCAACTTTATTTTATTTTTTTTGAGACAGAGTCTCTGTTGCCCAGGCTAGAGTGCCGTGGCATCAGCCTAACTCACAGCAACCTCAAACTCCTGGGCTCAAGCCATCCTCCTGTCTCAGCCTCCCAGGTAGCTGGGACTACAGGCACACGCCACCATGCGCGGCTAATTTTTTCTATATACTTTTAGTTGTCCAGCTAATTTCTTTATATTTTTAGTAGAGACAGGGTCTCGCTCTTGCTCAGGCTGGTTTCGAACTCACGAGCTCAAACAAACAATCTGCCCGCCTCGGCCTCCCAGAATGAATGCTAGAATTACAGGCGTGAGCCACCATGCCCGGCCGCAACTTTATTTTTTAAATAGATCTTATTTTTAAGAACAGTTTTAGATGTGCAGAAAAATTGAGAAGATAGGAGAGTTCCCATATACCCCAAACTGTTTCCCCTGTTATGAACATCTTACATCAGTGTGGTACATTCGTTGCAATTAATGAACCAATATTGATGCATAGTTGTTGAACAAAGTCCATAGTGTTTTCAGATTTCCTTAGTTTTTACCTAAGTACTTTTTCTGTTTCATGATCCCGTCCAGGTTAGCACATCACATTTAGTTGTCATGTCTCTTTATGCTCCTTTTGGCTGTGGCAGTTTCTCGGACTTTACTTGCTTTGAGGAGCTTGACAGTCTTGGAGTGTACTGGCCATATATGGTGGGGTACCCCTCTATTGGAATTTGTGTGGTGTTTTTCTCCTAAGTCTGGTCTTACAGGATATTGAGAAGACCACAGAGGTGGATTGCCGTGTTCATCACATCATTCAAGGGCACATGCTATCAACAAGATTTATGACTTAATGTTGATCTTGATCACTTGGCTGAGATAGTGTCTGTCACGTTTCTCCTCTGTAAAATTATTCTATTTTCCACTCTTTGCATACTGTACTCTTTGGAAGGAAGTCGCTATGTGCAGCCCATACCCAAGGAATGGGGAGTTATGCTCCCCCTCCTTAGGGGCAAATATCTACATATATTATTTGGGATTCTTCTGTGTGGAAGATTTGTTTCTCTCTTCTCCTTCATTTATTAATTTATTAAATTATTTTTATCAGCGTAGACTCAGGGATATTTATTTTATACTTTGGGTTATAATACTCCTTTATTTTGTTGCTCAAATTATTGCAGCTTCGGCCATTGGGAACTCTTTCACATTGGCTCCTGTGCTCCTTCCTAGCATGTATTTTTATAGAGCTTTTTGTTATGGAAATGCTTTAACTTATGTGACCTCACTTGAAGTTCAAACAGCCTGGTGAACTTGGCAAAACATTTTCCCCTTGTTGAGAGGTAAGGAAACTGAGTCCCAGGGCAGTGGGTGACTTCTTAGATGTCATTTCCTGCAGTGGAATAGCAGACTGGACTCAGACTGGATCTGATCATCATAGAAGACTTCAAACCTCAGAAAAGTACCTGTGGTCTGAATTGAGGCTTCTCTGGGTGACTTCAGACTTGGATTTTTAGGCTCAGAATAGAAAAGACATGGAGAATGGGAAGGAGTTGTTTTTGGGAAAGCAAAAGCATAATTTGGCTGGCATCAGGATGAATTAGAACTTGCCAGCTTGGTCTCGAACTCCTGACCTCAAGCAATCTTGCCTCCTCCTCAGCCTCCCAAAGTGCTAGGATTATAGGCGTGAGCTACTGTGCCTGGCCCTTGGTAGAAATGGAATGTTGACCTTCCCTCTTCCCCCAACTGTGTGTTTGTGTGTGTGTGTGTGTGTGTGTGTGTGTGTGTGTGTGTGGAGGGAGGGTGGGGGAGATCTGGGTAATGTTTGTGGCCAAGAATGTCTAATCCAAGGAGAGCCCCGGAAGCCTGCTGCTCAAGCAGAATTGTGAAGTGGGAAAGGGGAGTGCAGCGAGAGTGGGGAGAATGGAGAAGATGGCAGGGCTCTGCAATCAGAGGGTGACATGAATTCTACTAACGTTTACAGACCCCCTACTTTGTGCCAGATACTGGAGATAAAGATCAATGAGGCATGGCCCTTGGGTTCACATTCTTGTTGGGGGAGGAGATAGGTAAAAATATTAATTACAATAGTCTCTTTTATATAGTTATATTTTTATACACACACACACACACACACACACACACACACACACACACACACTCTAAGTGATTTTCAGGTACCTGTATATGGTAGTCCCTTTTATCCGTGGTTTCCTTTTCCATGGTTTTGGTTACCCACGGTCAACATAGGTTGGAAGATATTAAATAGAAAATTCCATAAATACACAATTCATAAGTTTTAAGTTGCACTCTGTTCTGAGTAGTGTGATGGAATCTTGTGCTGTGCTGCCGTCCCTTCATCACAAGAAGGGTGAGCACAGTACAATAGGATATTCTGAGAGAGAGAGAGACACCACATTCACATAACTTTTATTACAGTATATTGTTATAGTTGTTCTATCAGTTATTGTTAATCTCTTACTGTGCCTAATTTAAAAGTTAAACTTTATTATAGGTGTTTATGTATAGGAAAAAACATAGTATATATAGGGCTTGGTAAATCTGCAGTTTCAGGCATCCCCGAGGGGTCCTAGAGCACATCTCCAGCGGAGAAGGGGACTCCTGCATGGAGCAGTGCGATGGTGCTGTCGGAGAGGTACGGTGTAGGCAGAGCTGCAGGAGCTAACCAGGGGAGGGAGTCATTCAACGCGGGGCTGGGATGGGCGCAGGAAGGACCGCCCAGATAAAGGGACAAAGCCTTTAAGGATGAGCTGGGCCTGAGAAGAGAGCACGTACATGGGCACACGTGGAGAGTGGGGAGGTGGGGGGAGCTGTCTTCCTGGCTCAGTGTATCTAACAGCCGGAGAATTAGCTAGGGTGAGACAGAATTACTTGTCCAGGGGCTGGATAAGTAAGTTGGGGCCCGATTGTGCAGATGGGGGGCCTTCCTGTGCAGTTGTGACCTCAGCCAGGAGTTGTGCTGGGAAAATTATTCTGGCCGCACTTGGAGAAGGCATGCCACATCTCAGCAGCGCTAAGATGCCATTTGTCTTAATCTGTTTTCTGTTGCTATAACAGACTACAACAGACTTGGTGAATTATAAACAATAGAAGTTTACTCGGCTCATGGTTCTGGAGGCTGGGAAATCCGAGAGCATGGTGCCAGCTTCTGGAAGGGTCATCCCATGATGGAAGGTGGGAGCTAGCAAGCAAGACAGAGACCATCACGAGCGAGCAGAGCGAGCTTTTATAGCAGCTGACTCCAAGAATGGCATTAATCTGTTCCCTGGTCACCTGGTCACCTCTTAAAGCCTCCACCTTTTAATACTGTTATATTGGCAGTTAAGTTTCCAAACTGTGGATTTCCCAAGACACATTCAAGCCGTAGCACCACCCATTATTTTATGTTGCACATAGAAAAAATATTTTGCCAGTTAAACTGTGACATGCCGTCAGTCACACTTCAGAGATGCTAAAATGTTATGTCATAGATGTCGCAAATTTGATGAAAAACAGCAACGCCCTAGCTGATGGCTTAGATCCCTCCCTCCCCATGGATATGAATGGTTAGAATATCTCCATCTCACTAATGCAGATGTTAAGTTACCAAAGGAAGGAAGTATGGAAGCCGGGCCTACCTCTCTCCTCCTCCAAAAGATAAACATTTACAGCACTTACTAGCTAGCTCCAGGAGCACAATATCTGGTCCGCTGCTGTAGTGTTCCTTAGCCTGTTACTGGGCCTCTCTCATGCTCTTTCTTTATTTTAGTGTCAAACACACACACACGCACAATGAGATTCTATTTCCCAGCCGCCAGATTGGCAAAAATTTGAGAGCTGACAATACCAGGTGTCGGCGCGGCTGTGGAGCAGCTTGAGTGCTGGTAGCCTGCTGGGGAGAGCGCAGCAGTGTGGTTGATTTGGAAACAGTTCGGCCTGATCTAGTCAAACTGGGCATGCGTCTTCCTGCCTGTGTGTGCTAGGACACGTGTGCGACATATTTACAGAAGCAGTATTTGCAGTTGTCTCAAACTGGAAACAACCCAGATGGCTATCAGAAGTAGACTGCATTCAAGAATTGTATAATTATAGAAGAGCAATGAAAATAAATAAAATCGGCTCCCAATCACATGAATGAACCTCACAAACATGATGCCGATAGCCCCCCCAAAATAACATGCAATATGATTCCATTCGAGGCTCAAAACATGGAAAAAGGCTGGGTGCAGTGGTTCACACCTATAATTCTAGCACCTTGGGGAGGCTGAGGCGGGAGGATTGCTTGAGGCCAGGAGTTC